CAATTATGTGGACATAAATCATTCAACAGCATCATACAAGCTGCTTACGAATGTGCTTGTATGTTGCTTCCAATTATGTGTACATAAATCATTCACACCACAAACACATATAATCCATTTTATTTAGCATGCATAATCATATACTTCCAATTAATTCATACTTATTAACACATAAACACATAATGTACCTTAACACAATATGTCTGAAAGCCTGGTTATCACATTATTCCCCCTTCAAAAGAATTCCATCCCGGAATTAACATTTCAAACAACCAAGGATAATGGGTTCTCATCTCTGATTCCAACTCCCATGTTGCTTCAGAACCCTTATGAAACCTCCACTGAATTTTCACCAACTTGATTTCTTTATTTCTTAGAGTCTTGACCTTACTGTCAGTTATGGCTTCTTGTGCCTCTTGGAAGTTCAACATCTCATCTAACTTGATCTCTGGAAGTGAGATGGCTTGGGTGGCCTCTGCCAAACACTTACGTAAGTTGGAGACATGGAAAGTGTTGTGGATGAGACTAAGCTCTTCTGGTAGCTCTAGCTGGTAGGCTAATGCTCCAATTCTTTTGAAAATTTTGAAAGGCCCAACATATCTTGGACTAAGCTTGCCTTTCTTCCCAAACCTCATTACACCCTTCCAAGGAGATGCTTTCAACATTACCAGATCTCCCACAGAGAATTCAATTGGTTTCCTTCTTTGATGAGCATAACTCTTTTGCCTCTCTTGAGCAGTCTTGATTCTGGCTCTAATCTGCTCATTTTTCTCTGCTGTGACTTGCACAATTTATGGTCCTGTTAACTGCCTTTCACCTACTTCATTCCATCACACAAGAGTTCTACATTTGCGCCCATACAGAACTTCATAGGGGGCTGCCTTAATGCTGGAATGAGAGTTGTTATTGTTTGCAAATTCAATCAAAGGCAGGTGATCTTCCCAGCTTCCTCCAAAATCAATTATGCAAGCCCTTAGCATATCCTCCAGAGTCTGAATGGTTCTTTCACTTTGCCCATCAGTCTGTGGGTGATATGCTGTGCTCAAATGGATTTGAGAACCCAAGGCCTTTTGGAAACTTCCCCAGAACTAATAAGTGAATCTGCTATCTCTATCTGAAATGATAGACAATGGAACACCATGCCTGGTCACAATTTCCTTAATATACAGTTGAGCCAGCCTCTCAAGAGTATAACTTTCTTTCATAGGCAGGAAATGTGTAGACTTGGACAATCGATCAACTATTACCCATATTGCATCAAGACCTGTTGGTGTTTGGGGTAACATCATTATGAAGTCCATTGTTATATGGTCCTATTTCCATACAGGTATTTCCAAGGTTTGCAAGCTTCCATAAGGTTTTTGGTGTTCAATCTTTACCTGCAGGCATGTCATACACTGCTCAACATACACAGTTATGCTCCTCTTTAGTCTTGGCCACCAGTAGAACACTTTCAAATCCTTGTGCATTTTATTGGTGTCTCGGTGTATTGAGTAACGAGACCTGTGACTATCATCCAAAATGATCTTCCTTGTATTCCCATGGCATGGCACCCATATTCTGTTTTGAAAACACAACAACCCTTGATCATTCTTTTCTAAGTTGGCAAGCATCTTTCCTAATCCTTCTGCCTTCATGTGCTATGCTTGAACAGCCTCTGCCTGATATCTCTCTATCTCCTTATGAAGGTCCAAAGATAGATTTATGCTCATTGCCACAGCTTTGATAGTTCCACTTTTCTCTTTGCGGCTTAGAGCATCAGCTACAACATTAGCTTTTCCTGGATGGTAAAGAATTTCACAATCATAATCACTTACCAATTCAATCCATCTTCTCTGCCTCATGTTGAGTTCTTTCTAAGTAAACAGATGCTGCAGGCTTTTATGGTCTATGAATATCTTGCATCTGGTCCCCAACAAGCAGTGCCTCCAAATCTTTAGTGCAAAGACAACAACTGCCAATTCCATATCATGGGTTGGATATTGCTTCTCATGATCTTTTAACTAGCGAGATGCACAGGCCATTACTTTTCCCTTTTGCATCAACACATAGCCCAAACCCAACTTGGATGCATCACTGTAGACAATGAAATCTTCTGTTCCTTCTAGTAAAGATAGGATTATGCACTGTAGAGACGGTCCTTTAAAGTTTGAAAAGCCTTTTGTTGATCCTCTGCCCATTGAAACTTGAAATCTTTGCGGGTCAACTTGGTTAGAGGTACAACTATTTTGGAGAAATCTTGGATGAACTTTTTATAATAACCAGCTAATCCAAGGAAACTTCTTACCACAGAAGGCTTTTGTGGTGCCTTCCATTTCTTTACAGCTTCAATTTTAGCTGGATCCACCTTGATTCCTTCTTTGGAGATGACATGACCCAAAAACTGTACTTCTCTTAACCAGAATTCATATTTGGACAGCTTAGCATATAGCTTTTCTCTTTAACAGGCTTAAGATCAAATGCAGATGCTTTGCATGCTCTGCCTCAGTCTTTGAGTAGATAAGGATGTCATCAATGAAAACTATCACAAATTTGTCAAGGTATTCTCTGCACACTCTATTCATGAGATCCATGAAAGCTGCTGGTGCATTGGTTAGTCCAAAAGGCATAACCAAGAATTCATGATGTCCATACCTTGTTCTAAAAGCTATTTTAGGTGTGTCTTCATTTCTGACTTTCAATTGGTGATAACCAGATTGTAGATCAATTTTTGAGAAGAAGTTTGCCCCAACTAGTTGATCAAACAAATCATCAATTCTAGGCAAGGGATACCTGTTTTTGATTGTGACTTTGATAAGTTCCCTGTAGTCTATACACATCCTATTTACAAATAGAACTGGTGCTTCCCATGGTGATGTACTTGGCTTTATGAACCCTCTATGAAGCAAGTCCTTTAGCTGAGACCTCAACTCTTTTAATTCAGATGGGGCTAGTCTGTAAGGAGCTTTTGCTATAGGTTCAGCCCCTGGTGTGAGTTCAATTTTGAATTCCACATCCCTGTCTGGTGGAAGACCAGACAGATCATTTGGGAAGACTTCAGGATATTCTTTGACAACAGGAATAGATTATGGTTCTGCTATTTCTCTGACTGTATCAATCACATAGGCCAAGAATCCTTGGCACTTCTTTTTCATACAACTGTGAGCCTGTGATACTGATAGAATACTGGGATGATGATCCTGGTGATCACTCTTTATTATGACTGTTCTTTTGCCTGGAAGCTCTATTTTCACTCTCTTTTGGTTGCACAAAATGGATGTCTGGTTACTGGCTAAACAGTCCATCCCCACCACTACATCAAATTCCTTCATTGGCATAGGGAACAAACGGATGGGTAGCTTACAACCTTCAATAATGATGGCATAATCTTGGTATACAGAAGCTACAGTTTCTTGACTGTTTGCAGTCTCAACTATCAGCTTTATATCAAGTAATATTGGGATCATGCAGGCACTTTTAGCAAGTAAAGGAGATACAAATGCAAATTTTGCACCTGAATCAAAAAGCACCTTAGCACATACTGAGTTGATTGAGAAAGTACCTGTTACCACATCTGGTGCAGCTTCTGCCTCAGTTTCAGTCACTTGGAAGGATCTGCCTTGAGCTTTACCAAATCCTCCCCTATTAACACCAGGCCTTCTTCTGTTGTTTGGAGCATTGTTTCCCAAAGTTAGTTGTGGTGGTTTCAGCTGTGGACACTTGTCTTTAACATGGTCTGATGAATTACAATGGAAACACCTTCTGATCTGCCTACAGTATGTTGAGGTGTGCCCAATTTCTCCACAATTAAAACATTTCAATGGTTCAGGTCTGCAGCTACCTTGATGAACCTGTTTGCATCTTGGGCAGGCTCTCTCCATCCGTCTCTGTATTGGTTTTTTGTGGAATTTAGCACCCTTTGATCCTCTGTAGCCAGTTGAGGATCCCTCCCATTTTCTCTTTTCTACAACCTTCCCTTCCTCACTCCTATTCTTATTCCTTTCAGTAACCTCTGCAGCATCAACTGCTGTAGAAAAAGTGGTAGGATTCATAGCAATCACCAATTATCTTATTGAGGGCTTAAGTCCCCAAATATACCTCTCCACTTTCCTTGCTTTAATAGCAATATAATGTTCAGCAAACCTGGAGAATTCAATAAACCTTTATGTGTAGGCTCTGACTGCCCCAAAGCCCTGCTCTAGTTTGAGGAAATCTTCCTCCATTTGCCTGATTGCTGTTTTAGGACAGAATTGCTCTTTAAATCTATTCACAAACTCTGTCCAGAATAGGTTCTGCAGCATATCTGATCTGGCCAAAGACACCACTTCCCACCAGAACACAGCATTAGACTTCAACATAGCAACAGCAAATCTGACTTTATCAGCCTCTAGACATCTAATAGTGTTGAAGACAGATTCAATTTCCATGATCCAACGTAATGCTTTTATTGGATCCCTTTTTCCAGAAAAAGTTGGGGGTTTGCAGGTAAGAAACATCTTTATATCCCCTTCTCTAACATGAGATGTTGCTAGCACAGCAGGAATTTCCTCCACCCTTTCTGTTTCTAATCTGGCAGGCATTCTTAAAATGGAAGTCAAGGTTTTCCTTAGCTTCCCCATCTCTTCAGCCAACATACCCCTGGTCACATCCTCTTCTTCAGGCACAAATTCTGGATTGTTACCTCCAGAAATTGATTTTGCCTGTTCAAAAGGAAACTCTGTCTGGTTGTTGCTTTCTCAGGCATAACTTCTTCCACTTCCTCTGCCTCTACCTCTGCCCCCTCTTCTACTTCTGCCTCTACTTTCTAAGGCATTGACAAGGATCCCTATACGAGAATCCTCTGTTTCACCGGGGTTAGGCTGAGCTAGTCTTTCAGATCTCCTTGAGTGGCTAATCATCTGCAAGTTCCATAATTAGATAACACATTTTCACATTCCCAAATATAATAGATTACTTAAGTTCAAAATTACATTGGCCAGATGTAACTCAAAAATACCTTACATATTAAGCCCTTAACTTATTATATTTATTCCAATGGTGCTAACTATGTTTGGGACCTTAACATGCAAAGAAATAGTTTAAGTCTATGTATCATCATGCAAGTGAATACCTAAATCCCTTAAACCTAGGCTCTGATACCAACTTTATAACACCCCCAAATCCATACATTGCATATAACACATATTTCATACATCGAATACATGTTTTAAACCCACATAGGCCTATATTACAGGAGTCTAAAATACGAAATACACAACTCTAAAATTCCAAATACAAGTTCTTGCAAATGTAATTCCTATGAGTTCCTATCTTCCCGCATGCAAGTAAAAATAGAATCATAGTATGCCTTTCCCCTTATCACTATAGCT